ATAAATAGTTTCCATGCCATATGTGCAATATTAATAATCTAATCAGTGTCAAGTAAAATAAATTGTATCTCAGTGTATATTAAATATTTAATTCAATGAATGTGTTCACATATACAATGATAAAATAAAACAGTGTAGTATGGATACTGATTTAAAAGTAGAAAACATCAAGCTATGAAGTCCAAATATTTTGTATTTTGTTGATAAATTTATTCTGTATTATGTAGATAGTTTTGAATAGGTTCTGAAAATGTATGTAGCTGAAATAGATTTCATATAACTCTATGAAATAGTTTCATAATATGTATACTCTAGGTAAGATAGTTAGACACATGTAAGGCATTATTTAACATGATTTTAAGTATAAAGTTAATGGAGAAAGGAAAATCATTATTATGTGGTTTTAGAAGGTTTGCCTCCAGCTGTGTAAATTGGGAATTGTTTTGACCCTGGGCCTCCATAATCATAAAATTGACTAGAGGAGTAACTTAAGGAGTGGATGGTGAACAGTTTAATTGGTTTGTAGTTGAGAGCAAAATAAAACAGAGAGATTTTGTAGCAGAAAATAAGATTAGATGAGATTGGAAAAGTCGGCTTGGGGGCACATAATTTGGAGCTTCACGTAAAAAAGGAGGTAATTTTATTTGGCATGTAATGAAGACTTCTTAAGAGATTTTATGCAAAGTGTAACATGATTTTGGTGACTTTAGAAAATTAATCTGGCACCATTGTGCATCTGAATTGGAAGAGGAAGCAAGAAATTTGTTGAAGTTTAATTCAATAGTCTAAGGAACCCACAATGAGTTTGAGAGTTGTAATGAAGTGGTAGCTGTAGGGTTGAAGAAAATAAAAAGGGAGAGTTAGTATAGGTTGTTACTAAAAGACATAAGAAAAAAGAGAAAACAGTACAGAATGTATTTTGGAAATATTGTATCAACCTATTCGATTCAGCTGTATAGCAGTTATTTGGAAATATTAAATGATAATTAGTAAATGTTCTAGCAATGGCACATTTGTTATAATTTTCTTTCTGTAAATTCATGTCAGAACTTTGAAAAGTGAGGATTATGATAATATATATATGAAAATTTTTAAGTGCTTCTTAAAATGTAGATTTTAAAATCATTTCAAATTACTACGTGAAATTATGCATTTCAATACATTAACCTTAAAACCTTTTTATATTCTTTCTTTCCTTGTCCTATCATGAGTTAAATGATAATTTTGATTAAAATATTTTAAACAAGTCTTAGATGATGAAGAATAAATTAGAAGAATAATGGCGTATTTTTCAACACAGTGTTTTAACTCATGTTTTCAAAGGAGAACTGGGCTTTAGGTTAATGAGTTATCTGTAAGACTGCATAATATTTAAATTAACTTTAAACTCCATGTGGTGGTGTACTTGATAATTTTATCTGAAATTATTTTATTATTAGCACTGTTATACATGGTAACTCTGTGTGTGTGTTTGTGTTTGTGCGTGTGTGTGTGGTGTGTGTGTGTTACTGTGAAGTGATCACAGGGACATAGCACAGTTATACTCCCAGATCTTTATTAATTGTTTACATTAAAAGGTAAGATGGGGTCTTGCTAAATCATAAAGTTGCCCAGAATGTGATTGAATTTGCAGCCTCAGCTTGCAAAACACTGGGAATACAGACATGCATGAACATAACTGCACAGTTTTATATTTAAAAGAAAAAATGGTACAACTAGGTTTTATTATCACCTGCTCTGATATTCATATTTTTGGCTTCTTTTTGCCCATATTTTATGAGTATGTTTTCTGAACTGATAAAATTATAAGCCCATAGAAATCATGGTATATTCATTTTACTTCTACATTATGCTTCATGGCTTTCTATATGTGTAGAACTTCAAAAAAGTTGTGAAACTTTTAAATATAACAAACACTTGTTAAATAAAACTTTCATTCATTAAGATGAAAAGCATTTCTGGTATAAAAACCATAAGAATTGCATTTCTTTTTTGGTCAGATTTTTAATAATTCACATGTATTTCTTAAGATATACTCTGCAATGTAAGAGAGGGAACTTGAAAAGAATTACTAATAGTTGGGATCTAACATTGCTGTCTTTACATACCTTAATGCACTGAAAATATATAAAAAAGGAATTCTGCAATATGTGGCAAATCTAAATCTTTTGCAGTAATAAGGTGTTTCTTGCTACCCAGGTTTCTGATAGCCATCTAGGAAGTACTTGACTATAGACGCATTCAATACAGAACTAATAATGTTTCCAGAAAATGATCATACAAATATAGTGAAATTAACAAGACCTTGAGGTCTAAAGATTTATTTTAAAGAGAAGAGTTGAGGATCATGCTGGCAAATCTAAATCTTTTGCAGTAATAAGGTGTTTCTTGCTACCCAGGTTTCTGATAGCCATCTAGGAAGTACTTGACTATAGACGCATTCAATACAGAACTAATAATGTTTCCAGAAAATGATCATACAAATATAGTGAAATTAACAAGACCTTGAGGTCTAAAGATTTATTTTAAAGAGAAGAGTTGAGGATCATGCCTAATTTTTCTCAAAAAATAGTGGAATGAGAAATAACTTGAAGGAATGGAAAACTGACATGCAGGGAAATATTTTTAAACAAAAAGTGAATTATGCCAGAGCAAATGTAAACAAGATAATAAAGATGATGCATTTGGAAAACAAAGGTTTGTCATCTGGAGATTTTTTTTTTCCCCCTGAAAAAGGAAATACAGATCTACTTCTTGATCTTGACTTTGATGAATCATACCAATGTAAAATTCTTAAAGAAATATATAAATATTAAATTTGTTCTAATATTTACAAGTTTAGCTGATAAAGTCTTCTTACAAATCTCCTTAGTGAGGGGCAGAGTGAGTCATTAGATAAGTCTTACTTTGTCTCCACACTCAGGGTTTTATGTGTGAATGCTGAGTACTGCACTCTCTCCTGTTGGGATGTTCATTCGATGGTGTCCATCCTACAATGTAGTTATTGAAACTGTCCCCAGTGTTTGTGCCCCTCTGCGTTCCCCAAGTAACTGTTTTCTCCACCTAGTTTCAAGATCTTTCTGTTTGTAGGGCCAGGGATTTAGCTCAGTGCTTCTGCCTTCTTCCTCGCAAGCGCCAAGACCTGAGTTCGATCCCTGGTACCCAAAACAATACAAAAACAAAAACAAAGAAAAGCTCATTCTGTCTGAGAGGCATCCACTCAGATCCTTCTGTCTATACATACCAGATGTGGCAACCATCCGAGCTAAGTTGTGTCCATCAACTCTTTGGAAGCGAGAGAAAGCAAAAAAGCTGTTGAATTCTGTGTTGGATGTAGGCAGGGGCAATGGATTTCTGGGAAAAAAAAAAAACAAAAAACATTTGCACAAGAAATAACATCAGGAATAAACAATCCTATTATATGAAATTTAAAAAGCTTTTGTACAGAAAGAAAAATAATCAACTGAGTGAAGAAACAACATAGAAAGTAGGAAAAATTTGGCAGCTACTCCTCTGTTAGAGGACTCATATTTAGAATATATACAGAACACAAAATTACATGTAAAAACTAAAATTAGAAGTAAATACCACATTTTCTTTTTCCATCCATCCATCTGTTCATGGACATGTAAGCCACTTCCAAAATTTAGCTATTATAAATTATGCTGCAATAAACATGAATATGCATATATTAATGTAATATGATGTCTTTAATTCTTTCTGGAAGATAATTAGAAGGAAGATAGCTGGGTGAAATGGAATTCTAGTTTCAGTTTTTTGAGGAAATTCCATACTGACTCTCATGGTGTTTGTACTAGTTTATATTTCCACCAACAGCATAGAAACATTCTTTTTACCATACAACCTCTCCAATATTTGTTATTACTTGTTTCCTTGATGATGACCATTGTTTTTGCGGTAAAATTTGTTGCATTAATTTGTATTTCTCCAATGGCCAAAGATATTGAGGATTTCTTCATGTACACATGGGTCATTTGTACCTCCTCTGCAAATAGTCTCTTGGTTATTCTTGCAGAATTTTTGTTTCAGTCATGGGTTTGGGGTGTCTACTATTGTTAGTTCTATGGAGTACTACTCTGTCATACAGACAATTAAGGCATTTGTAGGAAAAAAGATGCCCTTGAGGCCACAGTGTTAAGTGAAATAAATCAGACACAAACAAGTGTGTGGTTTCTTTTTTATGAGAAATACAGAGCAAAAATAAAGATCAAAATAAAAGACAGATAATAATAAGTAGAGAAATAGATCTTTCTCAAAATGAAGGTGATCGAGAGATGAAGGGAGATGGGGAACAAGGGAAGGGACAGAGAATGAAAAAAAAAGGAATTGGGATATGCTACATAAATAAATACATAAATGTGTGTGTGTGTGTGTGTGTGTGTATTAACTTAACCCCACATAAGAAATGGACACAATGTGTTCTGCAAACATGTCTAAATGGACCAAGAGATGATTGGGCAGGGCAGGGAGGGAAGGGAAGGGGATAGATAAAGGAATTAAAATGTGTTGTCTCCAGGTATCATTTTCCCGCAAGGAATCTAAACCTTATGTACCACACACATATACTAATAAACTAAAATAAAAAGTTAAATGCATAAAACTCCCAAAACTAAAATAAATTAAAATAAAATTTGAAGTTTCATTCAAAGAAGGTATTGTCCTTCTAGAAGTACTCCTGAAAGAGATAAGACATTGTTACAGTGATACATGCATACCCACCAAGTATATACCAGTACAACTCCTAATAGCTAAATTTCTGGATGGGCCGATATGTCCATCAAAAGATGAATGGATAAAGACGTGATGATTGTGCACAATGGAATGCTGCCAGAAAAATGGATAAACTTGACTAATCTGTTGGTAAGTAGATGCACCCTGAAACCATGACTCGAAGTGAAATAAATCACACACAATCATAAATATTTATGGTTTCAAAGGGGAAGTGAAGGAGCTGTATATAGAAATAGTATATGTTTGCAATTGTACCAACTCTGACAATGAATGTAATCATCACAAACTGAAAACATGCGCTAATAAAGTAAAAATAAAATAAGAGAAATATAATTTTCAAAAATCACAAAACATGGAGAACAATGGCTTCCTGATAAAATTGTTGAAACAATTTATATCTGCCTAGTTAGTAGTCATTAAAGGAATCTGTTAATTGTTATTGAAAAATATGCTAGCAAAACATATTTTAGAAAAACCACATTTTGGAGATTTCAGTTTTTTTATTAAATTCTACTTTTTCTTAGTGAAAGTAGGTACAGACCTTCAAAAACTAGGTTATAATTTACACATATATGCAAAATTATCAACGTTAAGAGTTAAGGGACTATGCTCTAATATTAATGCAGACAATAATAATTTTTTAAAGTACACTACATATCTTTAAGGTTATGCCAAGCATATGATGAAAGAGAAACTCTTTTACTATTTAGAGCCCTTACACTGTATTTAATCTCAAAAATGTTTCATCATATTCACTAGGATCAGGGACATTTTGTAGTTTTCTTTGTGTCATTTTTTTCAGCTTTAATTGAGTTTATTGGTACATTTTAGGGATACAGTACAGTTACATTCATTGTTGGGCCTTGAGCACAATGAAAAAAAATCATTTCAAATTTGTCAATAAAAACTGAAAGTATTGATTCACTGTTATATAAAAATAACCTCATCTGTTTTTAAGATTTATAAATCGAAAGCATTTGGATAAATATATGTCAACAGGAATAGCATTTATTTCTTTATTGTGCATATTCCCTTATATGACACTCTTTTCCAATCTAAAAAAAAATAGTTTTGTGAAATATTCATGAAGCTACATCTTTAAACTAGAATTGCCATTGGTAATCTATAACTTATGGTATAAATTAACCATTAATATATCTAATTTGTAGGATGGGCTATATCCTGGAGGCATACAATCTCCCTTTTATAGCTCTTCTTAATGTTAGCCTAGTCTCTAGGAGCATTCACAATTTTCTAATGCATATTAAGAAAAAACAAGGATGGAATCTTCTTATTTTATGGAAGTATGAAAATAAAATGATTAAAGGATTGTGAATAAAGTTTGGAAGCCATATCACAGTTTTATATTTTATTAAGAGCTCCTTCTGTATTTTGCTTAACAAATAGACGTTGATTTTGTTTATTTCTCTATTCTACCTTGTGTGGGACATAAAAATGAGAATTTTTGTTTTGTTATATCAAGAAATCTGAGTACTAGTTTGGGATTTTTTTCTGTCCTGAGAATTTTATGAACCATAAGGAATCACAAAGAGTTAAAATATAACTTAAGAAAGAGCACATTTTAAAGAAAAGGCAGTGGAGAGGAAAGCTAGTTAATCAGAGAAGTCTGAACTTTATGACTTTGAAAAGAAGTTCATTAAGATACCACCCACATACCATAAAAATATCTTTAATTCCACAGATCAGTGTGTTGTAGTAAATTTACCAGGCTGTGCCTCCTATTCTGGCAGTGCAGGTTTACATCCCAGAGGTACGATGTAGTGGAAGAAGCTGCTCATTTAATAATGGCCAGAAAACTGAAAGAGACAGAACAAGGAGGAGCTAGGTCACCGTGTCTCTTGCTGGAGCATCATCCTTATGACCTAACCTCCTACCACTATCCACCAAGTCCTGAGGGTTCCCTTACTCTGTGGACCAAGTTTTGACACAAAGGACGTTAGTAAACACTTATCCAAATCACAGTCCTGACTTGCTATTTGCTGTTGCCTAGAATACTCTTATTCCAAGCTATATGCTAAGAAGAGTTGAGATCTTTATTACTTCAGCGCTCCTCGTTAACTATCAGACCTACATCCAGTGCCACAAAGATATCTTCTTGGCATCTTTTCCTCTGTAGTTGTTCATTCTTAATTTAACTTTGGCTGCGCCTTGTTGTGATTCATTAATTTAAAAGTTACACACAAGCTCAGAAAATCACTATAAGAAAAATTCAGTGTGGAAGAGAATCACAGAACAAGGAGCTAGGTGTCGGTTTGGTACGGATACAAGGTTGCCTCTGCTAAATGTCAAGTGCTCATCTTTATTACTGAATAGCCATTTATTGGCCAGGGTAATAAGTTAAATTTATGAGTTAAGATTCTGACATCTCATCTGGGTCATCTCGTTATCAGGCTTTATAGTGAATCGTATATGAGAAATCTTCATCCTCAATCTACCCTTCTACGTCTACACATACTCTCAGAAGGTGCGATGGGCTAATGGGCAAATTTCATGTTAGATTCCCAAGCTTGTCTTTTTTCCTGCCATTGCAATGAAGTCTCATTTGTGTGTTTTAACTCTTCTAAGAAATAACAGAGAGGCTTACTTGTAATTTCCTAGATGAAGTTAGGCAAGTAATCTATGTTTTGGTTTAGATGTAACTCAGTGTTACTCAATTTCAAATGAAAAAAGAAAAAAAACACACCACAAATTCGTGGAAAAGGTAGTCATTAAAAATCCATCCACAAGAGATCTGCTGAGTCAAATAAGCACTTCGCGAATACGAAAGATTATCTTTTAAAAAGGAAATATCCTTTTTGTGTCAGAAGATAGAGAAATATACAAAATACTACGCGAGAGAACTCGGCTTTACCTGAAGTTCAGTGGTACCGAATCAATCTCTGTGTCTCTCATTGTCTCATTTATTTTACCTTTATCTTTCTTTTTCCTGGTTAAGTTTCAGTGCATCAGATCTTGAACTCTTATGCCATATTATGAATTGGTAAATCAAAGTTGCTGTTGAGAAGATCTGGTACTGCTATTACAAATTGTTTTGAGGACATTGAGAGTTCAAATGAATTAAAATTTGAAATATTTTCTCCTTAATCCTGGCTTTAAAAAGATTTAGGCAAAGGAGATTAATAGTAATTAATATTTCCTAGCCAAACTTTCAAATAATCATTTTGTAATATTTTTTATCACCATTATAACATATAATTATTTCTTGAGAAAAATTATAGTAGGAGACATGCAAAAGATATAGAAAATTTCTGTGCTTTAGATCAGCAAGTGAGTTGATTTCCAACACTGGCTTTATCAGGCATTTGAACTTTATAGAGCAAGGATAGAAAATGGGATATAATGAGATAGGTCTCTCTCAAATGGGAAAGGGGATCACAAAAGAATTAACATTAATTATGTACATTTACCAATTCCATCCAAGGAACGGAAACATTATGCAATGTAAATATGTACCAATAAAATAAAATAGGTAATGAACAATTGAAAACCTAACAGCCTTCATCTCAATTTTTTTTTTAATTTTATCGAGTTTATTGGTACATTCTAGGGATGCAGTACAGTTACATTCATTGTTGGGATAATGTACCTCTACATGACAAGTCTTGATTCTCATTTTTTCCCCTTACCTCTGCCTTCCCTTCACCCCCTCCTCCCCTCCCCATCTACAAACACTTTATTTTCATCTTTTCATTCTCTCACATTTTTTTCTTTTCCCTTTTTGTTCTTCCCCTATGCATCACACCTTCCCTACACCTTTAGCTCCTTTCTTCAAATTTCTAAATGTCAGTAATCTTATTAGAATCTTATGCATTATTGCAGAATATTCACACCAGGGAAACTATTTGGTATTTACACATGTGTGACTTATTTATTTCACTTAGGAGTATATGTTCAATACGTATCCATTTTCCTATGAATGAATCTATTACTCAGCCATAAAGAGCGAGAGAATAGATTCATCTCAATATTTTGTATGTGCTGTGGGAATTCATTCACTGTTCTTTTTAGTTTGCTTGGTTAGTTTGATTTGTTGCTTGGTTCTATGAGACAATTGAAGCTGTGCTCAAATATGAGACCTCCCCCCTTTAGCTTCCTACTTACTGGGATTACTGATAGCAGCGACCATGCCTACTTTCATTTAGTGGCCTTCATCTTTAAAACAATTTAACAGTGCAGGTGATACAGTCTCATTTCCCCCGCTTGAATCCCCAAAGCAATTTAAAGTAGATACTAGCGATGCATTGGAAGTTGGGTGTGGTGGCACACTCCTGTAATCCCAGCACTCAGGAGGCTGAGGCAGGAGGATCACTGTGAGTTTGAGAGCAGCCTAGGAGACATAGTGAGTTCTAGATCAGTCTCAACTACATAGTGAGACCCTGTCTCAAAAAAAAAAAAAAAAAGGGAGAGAGATGCATTGGAACTCAGATTTATATGACTCAAAAGTATATGTGGCATTTCCTCTCAGAAGCTTCGATGCATTAACACTGTAGTGGAGATTTACATAAAGGAAGTGGGCAAACCCTAAAAGTACCATGTTAACACAGTTATGCAGACGGCTCACAGTTGTGTCCCCAAACACAGACCAAAGGACATAAAATTATCACTTCCTCCAAAAGCTTTTCTTCTAGTCAGAATATCTGCCAAATTAATCATTAGTTCACCTCCAAGAGCACAAAACATTTTTCTCTGTTTTGAAACACAACATACACATGCTAAAAGCAAATAGAACTATAGTACACAAAATTATTTGTATTCTTCAGTGTAATATTCTATGAATGATATATTTCTTGCAATACGTGTAGTTTTCTCATTGTCATTACTTTAGATCTCATGATATGGGCTTAACCAATGAAACACACACAAACAATGTAGACATGCATACTAATGAATAGAGGTGATCCTTACTTGTATTCAGTTTCACCTTCTATAATTAAATGGTTAACATTTTTGTGTATGAATTTTGGTGAACCTCGGTGCACATTTCAGTTAGATTCACACCTAGGAAGAACATTTTAGGCAAATATTGGACTCGAGCAAATAATGCCCCCTCCCAAAATTTCCAAAATATCTTTTTTGGTGTCTCTACTAAAAAGATTTATTTTATTCTTAGCATTTTTTCCTCCCATGTTATGGATTCCTTACTTTGCCCTCTGCCAAAATATTTTATCAATGTGAATACTGTGTGCAATACTTGAAAAGAATAGCCCCTTGTGTACTGTTATGAAAATCTAAATACCGTAGCATTTTAGGGGTCATTCAAATTTGGCCCACTGGAATTACTTGAGAAATATCAATATCTTGTCTAGTTTAATTTTTTCCTTTATTTTTAAATAAAACATAATCAATATTTCAAGTGGTCCATCTGTTCCTATAAGTTTAATGCATCATTAACTTACATACTTAAGACCAGAGAGACAATGAATGCTAAAGAAAATGAGAAAATGAAAAAATGGAAACAAAGTTTTTGTAAATAGCGAAGGGTGGGGGGGTGAAGGGAGGGTAGGGGTGTGGGGAAAAATGAGAACCAAGACCTGTCATGTAAAGGTACAAGATCCCAATGATGAATGTAACTGTACTGTATACCTAAAATATACCAATAAACTCAATGAGAAAAAAAATGTAACGTGTAAGAGAATTATGATAATTTTTTCATTTCAAAGTTGTCAACATGGCATGAAAATAACAAGACCACTTTAGAACTAGCAAGTCATTTTCATTATACTTTCTATCTCAGAGGTATGACCCCAAAACTGGAATTGCTCATGCTAAGTTTCGGGTCTGTCTTCATGTTACTGAATCATTTCTTCCTGCCTTCTTAAATTTCCTCAGGATTAGGAATCAGTTTCAGAACTGTCACTTTATTAATTTGAATAGATGTGTACCACTTTGCTTCTTTGAGAGACATATTTTGTTATAAACAATTGAGATAAGCAATGAATTTTATGGCTGAGAAACTTGTATAATTTAATAAAAATTATATTCAGAAACTAAATGAAAATTATTATTGATTATACTAAAATATAAAACATAATATTATCATTAAGAAATTCATAAACTACCTCAAAATGAAAAAGCTGCACAGTAGAATATGTGTGATTGAGAAAAAGATGCCACTGATGCTGACCTAATAAGCTAAAGACAGTTTAAAAGCTACTAAAATAGCAAAACAAATTATAAAATTTTTAGTTTTCAAAATGCACATCTTCATGTTAAAAACCAGAAATATTTTGTGTAATCTTTTCTGTAAATCTAAAAAAGTTTGTCGAAACATATTGCTGTATCCTGACTCAAATAGAAGGATTTACAAAATGAAATATGAACGAAGAAGTTTATCAGTATATTGAGCTTTCCTTGTTATTCACAGAAGTCAACACAATGTCCATTTGTGCAAAATAAAAAACATAAAATGATTCAGTATAAAAAAACACACCCTGCATTAATGGAGCATTAAAGTTATGACTCAAACCCACAAAAGTCAGGAAACTCAGAATTAGAACTCCCAAGGTAACCATAACTGTGACCTCTTGTACACAAACGCTGTTTACTAAATTGAGGCTTTTTGCCTTTCTGTTCACATCTAACTATGAAGAACAATCCTGAAGGAAAAAAGTACTACATTTCCTTAGAAGCAGTGTGTGTGTTTAAAATTTTATACCTACCTAGAAAATAAAACTATTCATCTTGTAGGACCATATGAGCTAATTATGGAATAAGAAAGAATTTTTAAAATATGCTCTAGAAAGCTACAGAAGACTCCACATAGTGAACATATATATGCAACTTGAATCTGGACTCC